TTATGAAGTATACTGGCTGGGCTTCAGAACAGTCACTTTTCAAAAGTGTAAAGTTCCGCTTGGTTTTACGTTTGTTAACTGTGGTTTTCTGTCTGTCTCTGTAAAGCCCTGGCAAGAATAGAACTTATTTTCTGTTGGGTCCTTGAACTGATGGCTGTCACATGGGCCTTTCAGGCTGAGATTTTTTGAGTGATTTTTGTAGCCAGACACCTAACGGCATTTAGCAGAATTCCTGAGCTCCTCCAAAAATCCCAGCCTTTCCAATTCAGTCAAGATTTGGGTTCCTTCGTGGGCCAGCTGAAATTACTCTACAGAATAACTGTGCATAACAATGGATAAAGGGCAAGTCTACACATATTTTGTGCACTATTGCTCTTCTGGCTGCAGTGACTTGGGACTGGTGGAAAGAATTTGGGCAGCCAGTTGGAAAACTCAATCTTGCATATTTTTCTAAAAATAAATAATTGCTCTTTAAAAGAAAAAGACGAAAACATTATGAAAATAGTCCATTTATTCACAGTAAGCTATATGTTCCACATAGCCCGTATTCCACATTTATACTGATTTAAAATTGTATCTGTGTAATTCTTCACTCACAAATGTGTTAATTGAACATACATTTGTACTGAGAAAATGAATTATAAAAAAACAGTGCTACAAATGAAAGATATATTTTATGGTATGATGCAGGGAGGGTGATTAATGTGAGCCCCAAACACAAGAGCAAAGAGGATTACAGGCTTTTCCCTTCACACCCCAACAGAAGTGTTTTTCAGAATGGGTGCCTGGCCAGGGCACAGGGTTTCATGAGCTCTTGCATCTGTTCTCTCTGTCTGGTCTGACTTGTGTCCAAACTGAGGTAGTAGCAGTCAGCAAGTTGCTGTGTATCTTGCAGGAGCACTAACTTGTTAGATGAGTGATGATTCCAGACTCAGCATTCCCTCAGCTCTCACGTGTGACAGTGATTGCCAAGTCTAGTAGTGAACTAGATAACGTGGGAGGAACAAGCAACACTACTACTTTGGATTCCTTTTGAATTTTTGAACAGTGACACATCATATGGCCCTGTATTCTTTAGATAGCCTATGGCCATACACTGGCCGAGGAAGAATGCAGAGTCATTATTTCTCACTGTTTTCAGGCTTGAAATTAAAACTCTTCAGTTCATTGCTTGAGCAGCAGCCATGATCACCTTTTATCACAACCTGATTAAAGATGAGGTTAGCAGAGTAGCTATAATTTTTAGGAGAGACTGGGTATCTCTGGGTAATAATAGAAAAGGGCAGGATGCAAGGGGCAAGGCAGCAGTGGTACAGTTTTTCTGGGAAGGCTAAGACAGTACTCAGGCACAAAGTGGGAGAACAAGTTCTGCTGGAGGCATCTTTGCTGGTGCACTTAGGGGGACATGGCGTAGGTGTTGCTTGACCCTCATTATTGCTGAAGCCATTGGCTCTACTCATTTCAGGCCTGTGCCCTCCATAGAATAATGGAAAGCTGAGATGCAAACCTGCCTTTTAAGCTGGTGTTCCAGATGAAGCAAATTCATCCATGACAGAGCTGGAATGGGTAGAACCATCACAGGAAAGGGGTAGTCTCATTTATCTGACAATAATTCATTCTAATACTCCCAAGACACCCACCTACAGTATTTAATATTCGAACAGAAGAGTAACAGCCACCTCAGTGTGACAGCATCACCTCTTTTTTGGGCATCCCTTCTACCTGTTAAATTTACTGCTTTTTCAACCACTAATGCATCTGGGAATCCTTTCCAAATTCATGTGAGTTTTATTAAATGCTGGGTAATACATGACCCCATCAAGGGAATGCAGTGTCCACTTGGGAGATTTTTGTTATATTCAAACAGTTGTTGGCAATGCAGCAAACTCTGCTGTGGACTGCCGGGGGGCAGTCAGCCCAGGTTGAGCCTCACAATGATTGATTTGCACAATAGGAACAAAAATATTCCTGAAACTCTGAGATCACTCAACCCTTCCTGCCAGACTTCCATGAAATATAACATGCAATCAATTTAGCTTACAGCCAAATTCTCCCCTTTCAGCCCCTTCTTTCCTTTGGTGTGTCAGCGAAGATAGATGAAAGAAGCAACAAGGAATACAAACAGCAGTAGCAATGAGAGCAGCAATTGCTTGTGTAGGGAGGACTCGTGGTGCCAGGCCACAGCAGAACCCACAACTTGACCAAACACAGGAATGAATGAAAGGTCCTTTTCAAGGGGCAAAAGAACCGTGCTGACCTCTTGGCAGAAAGAAGAGACTTCAAAGGGTTTACAACAGTTAAATACCCAGTTACACACAGCAAAAATGGCTTGCTTTGGATGCTAACACAGTGAAACTAAACTACATCATAGTAAGAGATATAGCAAAAGGTGGAGGGGGTTACTTTCTGCTAGCCATTGGACAAATGTAGAAAAGGCTAATTCTGTCAGTTTGGTGTTAGGCACAGGATTTCAAAGCTGTGCATGTGAGGAAAGCATAGAAGTTTAGACAGAACAGACTTGGAAAAGTTAGGCACATGTTTTCTTTTCATTTTTCTCATCATACGCTTCTTTTGGAAACATTTGGCAGTTCCTTAGGTATGACAGAAACTATATTTGAGGAAGTTAGAACTAATGAAATGGGGTATTTAAAGAGAAAACTTCTGAATGATCCGAGTGTTTTATATGATTCATGAAAACTGTATTTAAAAGATGAAAAAAGTGCTAATTGCTTGAGATAGTTCTTTCTGCTGTTTTTCTTCACCTGAGGTTCAGGCTTTTCACTTGCTCAGTACTGCTTGGAAAGTATTTAATCACATGTGCAATTTTAAGCACAAGAGAGAGGACTTCTGCCTGCAGGGAGACTCTGCTCAGTTAGCAAGTGCATGAAACCTTTTGCTGGACTTGCAGTACTTAATGTCTGGATTACAAGGATTTGAGAGCAAGTCAGTCAGAGCACTTCAATGAATAAAGACTTTCCTCTTCAATCTACTCTAGCTGAGTAAAATAAGACCTCAAATAGAAATTAATTCATCTAGACTAGATTATGCATTAAGATAAGCATAATACGATAAGGACCAACTGACACAACTTCCATAAGGGCAAATTGTGCCACTCCATCTTTAAGGAATTCCTGGAAAAAGTGCATAAAGTGAGGAATGAAACAAACCTTTGGAACATAATTTATGTGGAATTTCAAATGGCTTCCAACACGACCCCATATGAGAGAGTTTGAAATAAATAGCACCTTCCATAGCAAATCAAAACCCACAGGATGCTGGGAATATCCAATTTTTATGAAGAAGCTAATGACAAAACATATTGGTTTATTATTTTAACTATTTAACTATTTTGGAAAAAGAGATTTAATTCTATTTGCCAACAAATGATTCTGAATCTTGATCAGCTAAAGAAGACCATCATATGCTCCTCAAAATAGTTGTATTCTCTGGAACTATTTGTTTTTCCATCCATCAGCATGCTCACAGCTCTAATGGAAAGTAATATATGTTAGAAAATATAACAAACTTCTCATCATTGTAATGGACTTTAATCTAACACAATTCCCTGAAGAAACAGATTTGAATCATTGTGAGTACTACAATTTAATGAATATGCCTTTCCAAAATAAACTAAGAGATGGATTAGGGAAATACTTTACAGAAGTAATATCTCACTGTAGTAATGATTTAACTGAAAACTATAATGATACATTTCCAGTTGCACCCTAGCTTGGTTTTGGATTCTTCAATATAAATTGACATGATATGAATAGAAAGCATCAGGAGAGGAATAACAAAACAATTCAAATTGTGAAGATTCATGAGTGATGACTTCAACTATGTGCATTTGACATCCTAAAGACAAGGTTAACTAAATATCAGGCAAAATATGCTTTCTTAAGTTTGAATTTTGGTATGCCTGCATTTAAATTAGTGGGCTTTTTATGTGCTCAAAATAAGCATATGCTTTCCAGACACATGGTTACTTTTTTCAGCCTTAGATAGGAATGCACTTTCCTGTCAGCCATTTGCATTGTTTTTTGGTTGCTACCTTCAACAGACTTTTCACACAACAGGCTGTAAGTCCCTGGTATTCACAGACCACGAGCTATGTAAATCAGAAGATCGATTTACATGGGACTTAAAGGTGATTTCAAACACAAAATATTATCAGTTAGAAGAGCAATCATCCATTTCTTCTTTGCCCCATTATATAATCATCAGAAAGCATCTCATACAATGCATGTAATACATTCAGAACATATAATTCTTTAAATTAAAGGAATTGTCACTTTGAATAGTATCAGTAGTAGTTAACTAGAGATGGTACATGCATTAGCCTGTTGATTCACAGACACTGATTATTGCTTATGTGTACAGCTGCAGTAGCTTGAAGATTGATTGCTATAGCACATAGGCAGCAGCTGCCATTTACAAATGCCAGCTAGTGCTTCTCATGGGAATTTGTGATGGAATACAGAAATAAGACAGAATTACTGCTCTTAACTGAACATCGTTTCTTTTCTTGCTTTTTTTTCCCCCTGCAGTCATACTACATGCCACCACAAAATCTTTTTACAACTCTAGCTGATTTTCAAATAAATTTGGCAGAGACACCTGAAGTTTCGAAGGAAATTAAGACCTTACAAGAAGTGTAAAAATAAGTGATCAAGAAGGAAAAAGGGGTTTTGAAGTGTCTTGTTTAAAGGAAGGGCTGCCACGTGTGTAGATCTAGGAATCTATGTATCCAAGAACTCTGAATGCTCCAAACAACAAGGTTTTGTAATTATATTAGATGCAAGCAATACTTTGTCTAGACAAATGTATGGTAACCATGTATGGTAACCATAGAGTCACAGCCTGAACCACTGATGGAGCAGCTGGAGAAAAGACTTGGTCAGCCATGGGAGCACAGGTGAAGGCAATTCAGCTGTGTGACTGGAAGGGTGGAGCCTGGCTGTACCTCTCAGACCTCATTTAAGGGCTGACTGAAACAGGGCAAAGGATCTTTTGTAGAGATCCCTTCATGGTGGAGCTTTTCTTTGCAATCCTGGAATCTTCTGATGTGGGTAAGTAAGCTTCTTCTTTTAAGCACTTTTCTTTTGTGCCAATTGTTCTACTGTTGTACCTCCGGTGAAGCACCTTTTTCCATCATGTTAAGCTATCTAGTTGCCATATGTGTGAATTTGTATTGTGCATTGTCTTGTGATCATGCAGCAGTTCTCTTTCTGTGGCTATTTTGCATGTAAGAGGCATAAACAATTCCCTTTCTTTTTGTAAAGATGCAGTTTCCTTGATTCAAGGTTAACAGAGATATAACTGCTTGATGGTTTGTATAATAAGGTATGGTCATACTAGAACTGTGTTTAGTTCAGGACCTGGTGCAGTACTTATAACAGTTTCTGTCTATGTGTGTATGCAGATATATGTGTGTGTACATGCATATATTTTACACAGTGTGTATCTGCATAGGACTAACCAGGAGTATTAGGTTGGAAACTTTAGTGTATTCAGTTTTAAACAGAACGTATTTCTGCCAGCTTTCCTCGCACTGAATAATATCTACTGGTGGCTTACTCTATTTATTTATATCAGATTACACATGGACTAAAGAGCTAAATCAGCAGGAGGAAAAAACACTGTCAAGCTTTTCAATTTTATCACCAAGTCTTGTGGTATTTGTTTTTTTTGTTCTGTGCCTGAGCTGCTGGAATAAGGGAAGTTCTTGAAAATCTAAGCTTCCTTTAAATAGAGTGACTTGCTAGCCTTCCAGCATGCAGATAAAAGTTGAACATATGAAGCAAATAACCTTGTGGGGTCAAGAAATGAGAAGTCATATATAAACATTTTTCTTTCTTCAGACACTCTCATGATATCTCATAATTTTGCAGTGCCAGTGATGAATGAATAATGATGTCAGGATTTCTTCCTCAAACTTTAAAATGCTATGTGGGGATCACTTCAGCCAAGAAGAAATATAGGCATTTGGTTTCTCTGCATGAAGAGATAGATCCACATAAACAATATGCGGGGCTGAAAGAAAAACAAATTGTACTATTACTATTGGGCATAAGTATGGTCCTTCATCTATGACAATTGTCAGAACTATTAATTTCCATTCTGGAATCAGATTGCTGAAACCATAGCAGTTTATTTTAATGAGCAAAGGTACTTGTACTTCCTAAAAAAGAAAACTTTGGTGTATGAGTTTTCTGATGATAGTTCTGTAAAACGTTGTTTCAGTGAGGCAGACAAAAAGACTGCAAGGGCAGAAGGGGCTGAAAAGCAAGTACGTCTTGCATGTAGCCTAAGGAATAATAAAACAGCAAAGTAATAACAGAAAAAGGCATTTGGAAATTTAAAAGGCAACGCTTTTTGTTCTTTGGCTGTGGGAAACATCTAATCAAACTGTGCAACAAACAGAGCTTGTAATGCTACAGCATGATAGAAAGTACAGGTGGTACAATCCTAGGTTGCAGTGAATGAGAACAAACTGAAATGCAGCAGCTTGTGGATGCAAAAAAAAAAAAAAAAAAAAATGCTGCTTGCCTTTGGAAGACCTCAGGTATGCAGGGATCTCCAGCAAGATATCCTTGCCTTTCCTACCAACTGTTACATGAGGTCTGGGAGGGGATGGATCCTGGCTTCACTAGGTGCAATCGCTCAGGTACATTGCTTGCACCTGTGCTCCCCTTGGTTGGCTCAGCCTTTCCACCAGGTGCTCAATCACTGCTTCGTGACATGACTCAGCATTTCTTCTATAGAAGTGCATCAGAAAATATTTACATTATTAAATGGAAACTAATATAAACATAGCTTCCTGAATTCAGGATATTAACCTGGTTAATAGAGCCTCATAATACTAGGCACAGTGGTAGTGGTTCACAAAACACTTTTTTTGTTGATCTGTGTGTGGACTGCAGTTCTTCATGAAGTCAAAGAGACTCACTAAACTTTTAAAAATAGCACGACAAACTGCAACAAGCTAAGAAACTTCAGGAGTACTCAGGAGTAATGGCCCAACAGAAACAACGTATGCTTTAAGAAACATTATTAATCCAAGTCACTGAATGAAAACCAAGTTTAATGCACTCAATTATGACTTCCCAGAAGTAACATTTTCTCTGTTGTGAAGGGTATATTAGATGAAGTCACCTGAAAAGAAGTTGGAGCCAAACATTTAGAAGGAAGGTAATCAGGTAGTGAAAAATTCCCCAGAATCTTCCTATCATTTCCCTCTCACTTATTATTCTACCTTTGGCTCATCCCCAAAATAAGCCATGTTTCCTGAGTTATAGTGCTTTGTGGCTCCTGCTGTTGTCTCTCTCACTCCTCCCAGTGAGAGTATCACATGGACATCATCCTTTGCAATTTTTTATAGCAATTTCTTTTCTAGCTGTAAAAGATTAAATTAAAGAACTATTTGACCTGCCTTTCTGAGAGTGGAGAGTGCCACTTTAGCAAGTTATATGTCACTGGAAGAATGTCAGCTTCATGACCCATTACTCACATGAGGCGCCAACTAGGAGGAGTGAACTGAGAGATCCAGAAGTTCTAAATTTATTGTCATTATATATTTAAAAATAAAAGAGACTCTTATAGTGTAGGGAGTAGGAGGCAGAGGGAAGAAAGCTTAAGAAGTCTCTCTGGTCATTCAAAGGCTTTAAATAATCTGTGTCTGGCAAGCAGTTTCCTTTCACATGGAACACTATTTCTGCAAGTTCACTTTCAATGTGAAAAAGGTAGAAACTTTTCTATTTACCCTTGAATAGGTTCAAAATAGGTTTTGGACAGGCTTATAACATCAGATGAAATTTGGATGGCTGGAGACACACCAAACTTCACTTCTGTGTCACAAATATTAAAAAATTCAGCTTCTCTGAAGCAAGGAATTCCAATTTATGACTGCTACTGAACTGCTGTCATTTCTTGCATCAGTTTGATTAAACTTGCTTTCATTTCAGGGGAAACAGTTTAGAGCAGCAATAGCTCCCAGATAGTCATTTTGTCCTATGACTGACATCATGATCTTTCTCCTTACTGCTTCTAAAGTCTTTCCAGCCTCATGTTTTTCTCATGGCTTTTGGGCAAACTCTCTGTGCTGTTGTTCTCCCCTACTTATTTCCACTATATTTCCTTTCTTCTGCTTTTATAAAGAGCATTTCCTGCTGATGCATCTATTCTGGGCCACCCCATCAGGTATATGTGTCCTTGAAACAGAACTGGGAAAACAAGTACAGCAAATTCCTTACTGATGTGGACTTTGCTTGCTTTGCTAACATGCTTCTGCTTTGTTGCACGCTGTTTATACATCTATATAAAGGTCTTGAAGAAAAGGACTTAAGGGATTTTGTAGTCTGCAGTGGGTTAAAAGACTATTAAGAGTCTGAAATCCGATCAAGGTACTACTACAGTAGAGAGGACACAAAGATATATCTGTGGACCAGGGCACAATAAATTTAAGTTTTAATGTAGAACCCCAAATGTCTGGTTCTGATGGGGATGGGGGGAAGCTGAAATACAAGATTCAGTGTAGTCAGGCAGAGTGGTTTGTGCCATTGACAATTCTCTCTTAGGGGATCTGGGAGAAAAAAGTGACCACAAGAGACTCAAAATGAAGGTATTAAAAGGGTGAGTAAAGGACAAAATCTCAGCCTACCATCTGGTGCGTGACATGCGATGTTTTGGAGTGCTCCAGTATGAAAGAAATTCCAGAGACCCTCCAGGACTGGAGGATTTTTTTAAAAACATTAAAGAGTTCAGAGCTGCTCCATGTTAGAGGCTTTTCTTTTAAGTGCATATAGTTTCACAGCTTCTCAGTGCCAAGGTTTCTTTTTCATTAACTTCGTATTAGATCTTATGAAGTAATAGTGACATATTGTCTCACATTAATAGAGAACAATATAACTACACGAGGCATTCATGAATTTTCCATCATGTTTTTGAGAGACATGAATGGAGAAATGCACCCACTGTGCCAAATTCTGCCATAAATTGTACTTGCATAACCCTGGTCCTGGCTGTGGTGTTTTTGGTAGGATTTTTGAGGGGGTAGGAGAGCAGAGACCTGAATCCAGACTGTTGATATACGTATCTCCTCATACACTTACAATGATTACCAACTTTTCTCCCTTTTCAGTTCTTCTATGTCCTTACTTAGAGCCTGATCCTGCTACAGCTGTTGCTCAGTCATTTCCCCAAATTGACTGAGATCCTCTCTGCACACACTTGAGATTTGTCTGCGTGAAGTTTCCAGTAATATTGGGACCTTTTCTGCTTGAAAAGAAAGACAGCCTAATTCATTATGTTTGACTGGCACCCAAAAAATGGAGCTTTAACCAGCAGTATATTGTTACTGCTACTAATGTTAATATTAATGATAATATTATTGGTACTACATTTTCCTATTACATTATAATATTAAAATGTTATTTTTATTATTGTAGTTTTTTACGTAGTCTCACTGTAGTGAGGCTGGTTTTTTATTTTTTATTTTATATATATATATATATATATATATATATATATATACACACACACATACACATTTTTCAGAAACCTAGTTTAACAGCTGCTGAAAATGGCCAATTTTCCAGGCTCTGGCTTTTGGAAGGGATAATCCCCAGCACAGTAGTAAGCCAAGACACTGTAGACTGGAAACAAAAGCGTATGACTCAAAAGAAAGGCTCTCATTCATGGCAGAATTACTGCAGCAGCTCACACTTCTGTGCTGGGACAAAGCAACCTCCAAAAGGGTGTGATCTTGGCAGAGAAGAAATGGTTTAAGTCCAGTTCTCTCCCAGTATGGTTTATGGTGTCTCATGGGCTGACAGGAAGGTCAGTCCCTATGAAATAGCTTGTCTTTCCCCAAGGAGCCATGAGAATGCTGTGCAGTGCTCTTTCCTCCAGATGTAGCCATGAAGAAAAAGGGCTCTCCACACAGTCATGCTAATGTAGAGCTTCCAGAACAGCTGCTGGCACTCCCAGTTATTTTGGCACCTAGAATTTTTTTTTTTTTTTTTTATAATACAGTGTCCTGCAACAGGCATGAAGTGTATTCAAGCACTGC